GATCTAGAAAAAAATCATCCTGAGTGAGGTAATCCAGACTCAGAAAGACAAACATGGTATGTACTCACTCATAGGAGGATACTAGATGTGGAACAAGGATGACTGAACTGCTACTCACATCACCAGGGAGGCTACCTGGAAAACAGGACCCCAAGAAAGACATGGGAATTGCCCAATGATGGAGAAATGGATGAGATCTTCATGAACAGCCTGGACATGAGTGGGGGTAACGAATGGCGAGGGTCAAGGGAAAGAGAGCTTGGGGGAGCGGGAGATTCTACCTGGATCAAGAACAGATTGGGAGAACAGGGAATAGGAGACCATGGTAAAAGAAGACCACATGAGAATAAGAAGAAGCAAAGTGCTAGAGAGGCCCACAGAAATCCACAAAGATACCCCCACAAAAGACTGCTGGCAATGGTCAAGAGACAGCTGGAACTGACCTACTCTGGTGATGGGATGGCCAGTCACCCTAAATGTCGTGCTAGAAACCCCATCCAGTGACTGAGGGATCTGGATGCAGAGATCCACAGCTAGGTCCCGGGTGGAGCTTCGGGAGTTCAATTAGAGAGAAAGAGGAGGATTTATATGAGTGAGAATTATTGAGACCAAGGTTGGATAAAGCACAGGGACAAATAGCTAAACGAATGGAAACACATGAACTATGAACCTAAGGCTGAGGGGCCCCCAACTGGATCAGGCCCTCTGAGTGGGTGATACAGTTGATTGGCTTGATGTGTTTGGGAGGCATCCAGGCAGTGGGACCAGGTCCTGTGCTCAGTGCATGAGTTGGCTGTTTGAAACCTGGAGCTTATGCAGGGTCGCTTGGCTTGGCCTGGGAGGAGGGGACTGGACCTGCCTGGACTGAGTCTACCAGGTTGATCGCAGTCCTCAGGGGAGGCTTTGCCCTGGAGGAGGTGGGAATGGGGGGTGTGTTGAGGGGATAGGGGAAGGGGGCAGTAGTGATAGAACAAGGAAATCTGTGGCTGATATATAGAACTGAATTGTATTGGAAAATAAAATAAAAAAATTACAAAAAGAAATGGGTAAATTTAAAATATAAGAACAGATTGCAAGAAGCCTGCCACGGCCATACAGTTTATAAATTAAAAAAAAAAAGTTATGAACATCATGCGATACCTGTACAAACTAAGATTGATAATGCTCCAGCATATGTGCCTAATAAAATAAAACAGCTTTTTTGCATATTATAGCATAAAGTATATTACAGGTATACCACACAAAACTTATAGAAAGGTCTAATCAAACTTTAAAAGGAATGTATAATAAACAAAAAGAAGTAATAAGGATACCCTGAGATAGATTACACAATTTTTTATTAACTTTAAATTTCTTAAATGCTAATGAAAAAGGAACAATAGCTGCAGAGAGACATTGGATAATATAAAAACTGATGAATTAGCTGGGCAGTGGTGGGACACGCCTTTAATGCCAGCACTCGGGAGGCAGAGCCAGACGGATCTCTGTGAGTTCAAGGCCAGCCTGGGCTACCAAGTGAGTTCCAGGAAAGGCGCAAAGCTACACAGAGAAATCCTGTCTCGAAAAACCAAAAAAAAAAAAAGAAAAAAAAGAAAAGAAAAAAAACCTGATGAATTAACCTATATATTTTAAATATGAATTAAACTCAAAATGGAAACTAGGATATGTGTTATGTTGGGGAGAGGTTTTGCTTTTGTTTGTGTAGGAGAAGAAAAACTATGGATATTCTCAAGATAGATAAAATATAGATTTGAACAGGAGTCTGTGTATCCAAAAACTAAAGATCATCTCTCTACTATGACTAAGCAATCGGTTCCTGTTTCTCTAAGTTTGGTTAAAAAAAAAAAAGACACCTATCAAAAAAAGATGGTCATAACTTCTAACAAATGTGTAATTATAGAATCAGCCTTTTCTGAACTTAAAACAGTTGGCCATTGAAATCCTGAATATGTATCTATCATATGGTGCACATATTTTAATTTTCCAAACTCTGCAAAGTGAAACACATTCATTCACTAAATTTCATTTCTTTGAGTACCTTTTGGGTTACTTCCTAAAGATAATGGAGTTTGATTATACAAAGAATAAGTAAGACATTTCTTTATGAATTCTTTGGCTTGTTGCCAAGTGATAGAAAAATCTTTCTTCAAGCCTTTGACGGGGAGAGGAGATACTGAAGAGTCAAATTGGCCTAATGGGTTAGTATATTTCCAACAGGATAAAATTTCATAAGTCTTCCTAAAATATTTATTTTTCTTGTCCTTTACAACGATAAAAGGCAAATGGTCTTTGTGTAGTCACAATTTAACTAAAATTTATAGCTGGCTTTTGGTTGGATCATGTCTCTCTCCTCTACACCCAAGCAGGTTTGTTAAATGAAATCTCAAAATCTCTGTCTCATGTCAAAAGAGCCACCTGCTGTGGTACAGAAGAAAACCAGAATTTAGGGACTTTTCAATTGCCCATAATTTTATAATCCTTTATTTTATTTTAACTCTTTAAAACTTTTCATAGACATAAATATTAGCTCTAAATTTAGAATACTATTCTGTATATGACATTTAAAATGTTTAAGTTGTCAGCAGTGAACCATAACCATTCGTAACAGTGACCTTTGACTTCTCTAATAGAAGATGGGGCCCCACAATGATGATTCTATAGGGATTGTGGTATTGCCATTCAAGGGAGAAGAACAACCCAAAGATCAGCATCAGACTACAAACTGCCCAAGACAACTCTAAAGTTGCTTACTGAGAGGGTCCAGCCTCATAGGATACTTTAGCCAAGATTTCAGATAAGCTCTGCGCTTTCCTATTACACAGAGGCTGGACAATAAATGTTGCAGTTGGTTTTCTCAGTACTTGGCAAACATTTCAGATTTTTCAGGGTATTATTGCCCCCAGACAACAGGAAGTAATTTTGGGGACATGATGCCTACATTCCTAAGAAGTGAGGACAATGGTGTTAGGCCATTTGGTCAGTTATGAATGCTTATCATCATTTGGAGGTTCTTTATTAATTGCTACTGATATTGGAAGTGGAGGAAATTATACAAATGATATTACATTTAAGGATCTCTTTCACAAAAAAAAAGAAAAAGAAAGATGGGGGATATAGGAATGATAAAATAGAAGGGTACATTATTGAATCTACTTTAAATAATATGATAGATTATTAAATCTACAATAAACTAAGAGATAAATATTGATCTCAAATATTTTGTATTTGTAAGGTCTTTTTATATTGACACAACTTTAAGGTATTTTTTGTTACAATAAGAATATGTTTCTATTTTTCTTTAAAGGATTTTTGTATGTTGATACAATTTAAGGTTATT